TTACTTGTTTGCCTGCCCTTGTTTGTCTACCCTCCCTCATACTGTAAAGCGTCTTTGAGTTGTTAAAAGCGCTATATAAATAAAATGCATTATTATTATCAGCGTAACACGCTTGGTCTTCTTTTGTACTTACTCTTCTGTTCTTCTCCTCAGATCCCTTTGATTTGAACCACAATCTCGGTGCTGGAGTTTCTCGCAAAAGTAAGTGATGATTCGGATATTTCTGGTATTAAGTACCGTACTATCTTTAAAGGGGCCCTATTATGTTTTTTCAGGTCATTCCTTACTTGTAGTATTTTATATAGGTTATTGTGCATGTAAATGGTCAGCAAAGGCTAAAATCCCAAAGTTCCCTCCAGAGAGAGTTTCTCTCTCCCTAAAATGCCTCCATTGGAGTCCTTTGTTTAGCTCAGTACCAAATTGACATCCCTGTAATACTCAAGCTTCAACTGGCTACCGCTCCAACCCATTGGATGTGATAGGCTAAGGGGCGGGACCATCTCTAAGCGATTGGCCAATCACAACAGAGCCGGCAAGCTAACCAATCAGAGCAGACTGGGCTCTGGTTTCAGACAGAGGGTGAAAAGAGGTGCTGCAGCACAGGCAGTATGAGAAAATTAAAGAGCTTTTTGATCATTAAAGCATGTCACAGTAGAGGAACAGTTACAAATATGAACTTGAAAATGTGTATAATAGGGCCCCTTTCAACACGAAAGGCAGTTCATGGCAGGGAGAAACAAAAAAAGGCCCTTTGATTTTATAGCATACTTTATTATTTTGTGAAAAAGCTGTTTTGATGCAGAGATTGTTTTTCTCAATGCCTTGAGAGAGCTATTGAATTATCTAGCGTAATTCCGTGGATTGATTTTAATAACTTTTATCTACGCGAAACATGCTCTGCGCAGCCGTATTATCTTAAAAAAAAATACTCAGCATGAGCAGATTTTCAAAATAATTTCCCCAATAATATCGACAAATGGTCTTGAATGTCCTTAGTTTCTGCGATTAATCCTGTTCACCAATAACCAATTTGAGGACCTTTTTATTATGCTGTTTGATTCTGTGCACTTGGGTTCTGGAAGAGTGATCTGTGTCGCCTGTGAACCTGTGAACGTGTTCCTTTTGCTTCCTCTAGTGACTAATTTCATCATGAAGGCCTTTATCAACGGGAGGAAGTTGTTTGGGACTCCATTCTTGCCTATCCCTGGCACTGAAGTGGTACGTCACTCACCACTAAATGGACATAGTAATGTGTGAGCTGTGTGCTCTGTGTCCTGAGCAAACCTTTGTGTTCTGCCGCAGGACTACTTCTTTGACTCGAAGGTGTTGACGGACGGCGAGTTGGCGCCCAACGATAGGTGCTGTAGGATCTGCGGGAAGATCGGCCACTACATGAAGGACTGTCCTAAGAGACGCAGGTTGTCCCCTGTTCGTTCATGGAAATATCTCTCTCGTGCCGCTAGAATTCCAAGAAAAATATATGGAAACTACTGAGAAGTAATAAATATGTTATGAATTCATATCACTTCTACTTGGTGTATATATAATGTATATGAATATTTTTAGAAGCATAGCTGTCTACAGAACTACTGTTTTATAAAAAAAAAACATATTAGACATTTCGATGTCCAGGAATATCAGTTATGATCAGATGGAAGCCTCCTTTCTAAAGAGTAGGTTCACTCACATATATGATACTTACTTAATTCATCTCGTAATTAAAGTATACTGCGTCATTGTAGCTTTCCAAAAAACATTTTCAGGTCTACGGTAATTTTCTTTCTAATTGTCTGTTGTCTTTTCCATCATACAGTTAGTGATAGTTATAACGACGCATATGTGGATTCTACTTTCTTAAATGTAACCAAGCTGTTATAGCTTTTATATATAGAAACGGAACTTTGGTTATTTAAGTTTATACATTGTTCCACAGTTACATCGGCTATGAGAACATTTGATGTTTTTTATTTTAAATTGTTGACATTATTAGTCCAAACATAAGACCATCAACATCAGAGACATAAAAATAGGCTTTAGATATCAGCAATACCTCAAATATATAAGAAGGAAACAAAAACAGAATTCTGAATATTTAAATAAAATAATCAAATGATATAACTTCGAGCTCTTTTTAATAAGTGAAATGTTCTTATCACATTTAATTGTATAATGGTAATTCCTCTTTTACTTTTAATATATGTCTTTTTTTTGTTTTTCCTCTAATTTGTTTTTGTAATTGACTCGATGTCATTATCGTCGAGGGTCCTGGGAGCACATGACAGAAGAGTTAATCCCAGAGACAAAAGTGCGATTGAGAGGAAAAGGCTTCAGAAACAAGTAGAGGCCAACATAGTAAGGTTAAACTGTTCAATTGGCGGATGCTTTCTTTCTTTCATTTATATCTCTATGGCAAAGATGATAGCTCGAGGTATGTTAAAGCCAGACAAATGTTTCAAACCTTAAAGGAGTTGTTTACACACAACTGCAACCTTGTTTGTTGCAAGAATGTTCTTGTAGAATCAGTGATATCAAGGAGAGCCTGCGTCGTTGTCATATGTTCTTCCCTTTTCTGCTCTGACCTGTTTTCTTTCTTTGACAGGATGAAAAAGAAGGAAAATGAAGAAGACGTAAAAGATGAGGAGCGTGAACCAAAGGACAGACGTTGTTTCCAGTGCGGGGACATGGGTCACGTACGGAGGGACTGTCCTGAGTACCGCCACCTCAAACAGAGGACCGGCGGAGTGCCAGGTAACCACAACAGCTTTGTAATCCAAGGTTAACTTTCCTTACACTTAAAATAATACACAGCTCATCTTCAAAGCTTTATCTAATATGACTGTTTTTATGGCTTCTTCTTCTTCCTCCTCCCCAGCGCCTCACATGGTACGAAGTGTGGTGAGCTCCCAGTCCATCCCCATCCCGAAGACGGCTGCAGACTGTCCCGGGAGGACCAGACAGCCCTCTGAATGTGTGAGTACAATCACTGAAGTTGGACACTGCACTAGGGTCAGATCAACCAGATACAAAACTACATATGTGAAAATTTTTCTCACCCTTACCCATAAAGATGAATGTCTCCATCTAAAGACGAAGGAGGTGAATGACATTTAATTTGTTGGGCCTCTGAAAGTGAAAGATTAGTTTATATCCAAATTAGATTTTATTTTTTTAAATGTCAATCAAGAAACTGAAGATGTTTCATTTCTCAGAACGTCATCATCGCCCGATAGAGGCCTAAGACGTCAGTTAAATGTTATTTTGTGCTTCTTATAGGGGCCCTATTATGCTAATCTCGGTTTTCCCTTTCCTGTAGTGTAAAAGATGTGTTGACAAATCTCAACAGAGCTGCAGCTAACCAATCAGAGCAGACTGGGCTCTGGTTTCAGACAGAGGGTGAAAAGAGGTGCTGCAGCACAGGCAGTATGAGGGAAAAAAGACCTTAAAGCAAAAAAGTGCAATCCATTTATGGCGCGTTTCCACTGCAGCGCGGAGCTCGCTTTAAGCGTGCCGAGCCGTGCGGGGCCCGTTTTTGGTTGCGTTTCCACTTGGCCTAGTACCGGCTAGCGGGTCCTAAATTCACAGTTTTTCTGGCCCCATAAAATCGTGGTTCTAGGGCCAGGAACAACCAGGCTGAGTCGGGCTGAGTATGCTAAACTAGAGAGAGAATCGCTGTCAAGGGGGCTACAACTACAACAAGATGAACATATTTGACCGTGATTTAATTGTAATACACGTTTCAAAATGATGCCGAAGTAACAACATACTGATACCGGATAGTAAAAACCATGAATTAATGCTTTGACAAGTCTGCAGACAGACGGCA